AGAGTCAGGGAGGCAGAAAAAAAAAATACATTGACACAGAACCATATGAACAACTACTGCAGAAGGTACAAATGATGGAAGAAAGAATGAAAGCTGGAAATAAAGAGAACACTCCAGACAGGGAACCAAAATAAGTACATTGATATGGAGCTAAATGAGCAGCTATGGAAGAAGATGCAAATGACAAGGAAGAATGGAAGCCAGCAATAAAGTGAACAATCCAGAGACAGGGAACCATAAGAAATATATTGATGTGGAAGAACATGAACAACTATGGGAAAAACGGCAAGAGATGAAGAAAGAATCTAAATATAAATAAAGAGTCACCTGCATCTCACAGCAACCCTATGTACAACAGCTGTGAAACCTGCTCTATCCTGAGCCAACCTCATCGTCTCCAACACACCTGTATTCCCATTACTCCAGTAACTGAGTCAATCCATCTCATTGAGGGTCTTTCTCTCATTACAAGACAGAAAGTGTGTAGCCAACACAGTACTGGGAATAGTAGAAGTGTATGGGGGGGGAAACCCAAAAAACCACAGAACTCAAAATTTTAAGAATTTAGACTTACTTGGCCAGTTGAGAAAAAAAAAATCCTTGATATTTTCATCCTGAGATAATTTTAAAATCTTGAGCCAATTCTATCATCTGAAGTGACTTTCTAGTGAAATAACAAATTGACACAAAATAAAGGATATTACCTGAAGAAGGGAAATGCTGGTGATGTAGTAGTAGGTAAGGAGTTGTGCTGCCAAATCAGAAGTGGTGCCTCTTTGACTGTTCAAATAAACCAGAAGCTCCAAGGGAGAAAAGGCACCCAAGCGTCAAGGACTCTCCTTCATAGGGTTGCTATGAGTCCCCTGCGACTCAAAGTCATTTAAGAACAACAGTTAAGAAATGGACTCCTAGTCTATTGTGTGGATCTGAGCTGTCAGAGGGGCATATCCTCCCTGTGGACTATGCCACCTGGGCTCCTTACATAGGTGGAGCTATATTCTTACTCCTTTCCCTTAAATCAGAAAGGAAAGGGGTGACTGTGAAATTCTCACTCAGCTTCAAGCTTTAAACAGTCCCAAACAAGCCAAGCAGGTATGTAATTGCAGAAAATGGAATGATTGGGGAAAAAGAGGTGACTGTTCTGACAAAGCTCACATCCTGGGGCACCATACTTGGCTACCAAAAAGAAAAAAGGTAAGGAAGTTTTTGTTTTTGCGGGTTTCCCCCCCCCCTTCTCTTTTTTAAATAAGCGACAGTATAACTTGTTGAATTAGCAAATGTTCTTTCAGTTCAAGAAAAAACAGAATTTGCTGCTCTTTGGCCTTCCTCCCGCCCCCGACTGTACCATCTGATCCTAGATACTGGGGTGATTGAAAAGATGCACTGATTGTGATTGTTAAAGCCTCCTCCCTATTCCATGCTCTGCATCAGACCGCTGGTTGCTTTCTGTTAAGATGGTCTTAGCTCAAGGGCTTGCTCTGCTTGCAAGATTGAGCCAACTGGAGGGCTGAACCTTGTACTGCAGCTGGGGGTGAGGTAAACAACAGGACTATAAATACCAGAGTTTCTCTCTGAGCTTTGTGTAACTGCAGCTGAGCAAAGAGAAGGAAAGCAGAATCGTCCAAGGGGTGTTGTAAGTATCAGCTTTACTTTTTCATATTTGATTCTTTCAGAGATTCATAAATATTTTGGGTTTGGATCTTATGAAATATTTCTTTTATTAGACTAGATTTTTTTTTTTTTAAAAAACCCACAAGGGTAGGATAAGGAAAGCAATAAAAAGGAAAAGAGGCAAAGTGTGAAGTTAAGTGTGGTGGGTGAAGATCTGCGGTGCACATCTGGGACAGTTCCTGTTGATTTCAGCTTTGCTGAAGTTGTGGTCTGAGAAAGCAGCAGGGAAGGGTGGAGGGACCAAACAACATTCTTGTTCTGCAAAAGGTTGTTGCTTTATACATTTCTCACTGAAAGAGTGAGAACTGTAAGGAGGAAAATGACCCAGGGATATGAAAACAGAGGCTGGCATTTGCCTCTCTAGAGAGTGAAGCAGAGCTGTCCAGGAATGCTGTGGGCAACTCCAGAAAGTAAAAATGAGTGGAGTGGGAGGAGGGGACGGGAAGTTTGGTTTACAGGATAGAATTGGTTACCTTGAAAAGGGTTAAAACTCATGTCAGAATCAGGTGATGTGATTAAGTGCAAAGATTAATAGTATCAAAAAGATTAAATGCAAAGTTTTGCAATTAAAAGTGGATGTTTGCGGTTAAAAAGGAAAGAGTCTGAGGTGCTGGTTCTGTAGTTTAGGGGAGAAATGGGAGAAAGTTTCCGCACACCTTGTTTTCAACTCTGGCACTTAGTAAGGTGGTGCCTGGCCAAGGATCTAGGCTTTGTGATAGGACAGTGGAGAGACTGGTGAAGGTCACTTTCAATTGTTATTTATTGGGATCAGCTTTTGGTAAATTGAATTTTATTACTTCATTATTTCTGTATTGCTACCTAACAGTTATAACGGTAATAAAATTTTATTGTGTAAAAATTATTAGAAAAACCAAATGGAATAGCCGATTGCCTATTAAACTTGGGAAAATTTAAACTATGAATTCTATACCTCTCTGCCAATGGCTTTCATAATTTTTTCAACAAAAATTGAATGAGGAAAATGGTGAGATAGAGTTGTCATTTATATTCACCAGTTAGCCAATGAGAACTGATTGCTATGAGTTTGTGTTCTAAAGAGCAAGGAAATTCCAGCCATTCTAATAATTAATTTTAAAAAATGATTTTTTTAAAAGAAATAATTTCTTTTTTCTCATTTCCACCTTAAGGAATAATAATAATTGAAGTGAAAAGAGTCTCCAACTAACTGACTACTAGTTATTGCAAGATGACTTATCTTTTTTCCTAAATCAATATAATCAGTGCTTAAGAGGTCGTGCTTGAATTCAGCAGAACTGGCTTTAGTCCAGTCTGTCTTGTGACTTGCTTCATCACAAAAGGAAGTAATGGTCACATTGTTGTTTGTGCACAGTTGACATAACATACATAAAAATTGTTTAGCACCATCTGCCTGTAATCCTATGAATGTAGCCACAAGTTTGTTATCAATAGAAACTTACCTAAAGAAATATCCTAGGTTGGTTGTTGCTTTGCAGTGCCAACAATCTGCCCCAACTCATAGCAACCCCATGCACAGCAACAGCAGGAAGTCCTGCGGATCTTCACAATCTCTGCTCTACTTTAGCCTGTTGTTGCAGTCATTGTGTCAATCCAACCCATTAAGGGTCTTCTTTTTCATTGACTCTTTACCTGACCACGAGGGAGCTCTGGTGGCCTGGTGATAAGGAGTTGAATTGCCAGCTCAAAGGCATTGCTTCAAATGCACCAGTGCCTCCAAGGCAAAAATATAGGCATGGGAGACATCCCATGTCATTCAGAGCCTCCGAAAATCCTCTGGAGGGTCAGCTATGAGTTGGTTCTGATATGATGCAAATGAGTGTGAGTTCTGAAGTTTTATCCTGGTCTTTCTTTACAGATTCTTATTTCAAAATAAGCCTATGTAGATTTTTCTTCCTCTGCTTACCTGTTTAGTGTGCTTTTTAATTTTATTATTATTGTTATTTAGTATGTTTTCCCCCCCCCAACACATCTCCAATTCATCTCTTATTTGTAGCATTTTGGGGATAGAGCTAGGCCTAGTTTTGAGGACTACAACCTTTATGTCATCTGGTACTTGTTTGGACAAGAATCTAGCCTGTCAGTTCGTTGTACTGTAGTGGCTTATGTGTCGCTTATACTGTTAGAAGTTATACCACCAATATTTCAAATACCAATAGGGTTCCTTACTGTCTGGCTCAGGATAGGACAAGGTTTATACCTGTGACTTGAGGTAACTGAGTTGTACTTGGCTCAATGGCACTTAACAACAATAGCATTACCCTAAGTATTCAGGTTTCAGTAGTGTTTCCAAACTAAAATGGACTAAGAAAAAAAGGCTTGCTAATCTAATTTTGAAAATTAATAAATTAAAAGCTTATGGACCATGAGAAAATATTGTCTAGTATAGTTCTGGGAAATCAATTCCTTAGTCTGACAGAAGTGAAAATTACAATGATACAGACAGTGGACTGGGGCATACCATTAATTATGACAATGGTATAGGGCTTAGTAACATTTCCTTTTGTTATATACAAGGATACTATGAGTCAACTAACAAGTAACCTTCTACCTTTCTCATTGAGAGGGGTTATATGTTACCCAAGAAGGTGTCAGCTTGTCACAGGAGCTTCTGGAAAGCAGTTGTAAGTAGATCAGATTTCATTGTTTCTCACATAGTACAGAGGCCTTATCATATTTCTCTCCTATCTTGGGTATGGTACTAACATTACGGCTGAGAGATTCATATCAGGAGAGATTTAAATTATTGCTATTTGAAAACTAGACTTTGAGAAAGGTACAGAAGGGAACCATATCTAGAGTCTACAAATGTGGAAGGGTTGAATCTGAAGAGCCATTCTCATGTTAGTATGCTGTTCTTACTGCCATCTTCTCTTCAGGATTCTCTTTCTGACTTTTCTTTACTGTCTAAAACCCCCTATTTACCTCCTTCCCCAGACAGAAAGATGAGATCAAAAAGGAGGACATGGAATTTGGTGAATCTCAAATCAAAGTCAGAATTTATTTACAGCATGTTACTTGGTTACAGAGTTCAGTCAGTATTTTTCTAAACATCTCTTCCCTTAGAGAAGTATTTGGCTACCTCATCAGACAAATTTCCAGTGCTTTTCTAACACACAGAGGCATTTTTGCAACCCTCCTATCTCTGGCAGATACTTTTCCCTTTCTGAGAATAATTAGTGCAGGGAGGCCCAACAATAGGATGAGAGCTACATATGGGCTAGGTATTTCCAGGAAGGAGAATCATCCCTGCTGGATTTATAGAAATGCACAGTTCTGATATATCTGCGATGATGACAGAGACATTCTTCTTCTACAGGGAAATACCAGCAATGTGGAGAAGCCTGGGGCTTGCCCTGGCTCTCTGTCTTCTCCCCTTGGGAGGAACGGAGAGCCAGGGGCCAAGCTCCTATTGTAAACAACCTCCACCCTGGAGAATAAGGGAGGAAGATCCAATGCTGAACTCCAATGGTTCAGTGACTGTGGTTGCTCTTCTTCAAGCTAGCTGATACCTGTGCATACTCCAGGCATCCAGGTAAGAGCATCTTTTGTTGGTCTCGGCTTCCTTAGAAAAGAAAGTGAATAAATACACATTCAAGAAATGCATTTGCTAAATCACATTTTTAAAAAGCCAAGCAAAAAAACTCCCAAAGCTATAGAAGTTTACAAAGAACATTCTAGAAAAAAATAATGCTGGAGGGCATCGAGCAAAATGTTTAAAATAATTTTCCTGGGTTATGAATTTTTTTTCTCCTCATTTACCTATGCTTTCTAATTTTCTACTAAATCTGCATTACTTGTACAATGAAAAAAAAAAACACCTAAAAATGGATTAATATAGGAAAAAAAAAGAGTACCTTGCCAGAGCAGAATAAACGGAACTGTCATTCCATCAAAATTCTTGGGTCACTTAGGAAAGAACTCAAACCCCAAACCAATTACTTTCCTGGCAGTTCCCACTGATGGTGACCTCCACAGGGTTTCTGAGGCTCTGAGTCTTTACAGGAAGGAACAGCCATCTTTCATGTGCAAAGCAGCTGGAGGGTTAATTATGTATACTGCATTGAAACGGATGAGGGAGAAAACATTTTAAAAGCAATATATAATAAGGCATTATGAGTATCATAAGAGTCTGGAATGAAGGTTGCACAGTGGAATATACTCGGGGTGGGGGTGGGGTGGGCGCTGGGGGATTGTATACCAATGAAGGAATTTTTTACTTTTCAAAGAGAAGAGCGAACGGGGGGTTGGGGGGGGGGGTGGGTCGGGGGGAAAAGTGCAACAATGAATGAATGGAAATCCAAAAGCTCTGTAAATGTTCATTGAAATTAATAATAATTAAAAAAAATGTCAATTCTCTGTTCAGTAGTCCAACGTGCAGCACATTACGCCACCACCACTAGAGCTCCTTTGATGTAATACATTTACAATATAATGTTGTTGTGTACCATTGAGTCGGAACCGACCCATCGCTGACCTTCAGGCATGTTTTCAGAGGCAGTTAATCGCACGGGAGGAGACTGCCCATCCTTCTCCTGCGAAGCAGCTGGTGGCCTCGAACTGCATGTCTTTGGGATTGCAGTGCAGTTTCTTGCCACTAAGCTTAATATAGAGGAAGTGAAATCATATTTTGGGAGTTACTTGCCAAATATTTATTAGATATAATTCTTTGCATATGTAAGATGCAGAAAAAGATAAGGTTCATAGGATTAATTGGGAGCATTAGCTGGGTTAATAAATATGTAAGCATTTAGAATGAGCAGAAGTATTCAATGTTGTTGTTGTTGTTGTT